CCACTTGAAATGCAAATAACCGAGATTAAAGACTAGATTAACAGAAAAGCATAAACCTCAAGAATATACTAAAAAGTAGTTGAAGCATCTGCATTAATATAAGTTGTGAATAGTTGTGAAATAAGGAAGATTTTTAGTGGTAAAAAAGAGACACTATATAATCAAACAGCCAATTTATCAAAAGACAAAGCAATTATCTTTTAATTAATATATTTTACATCCTGACTGCAGTTTCCTGTCCTTCCTCTCCTCTCAGTCTCTCTCTGTGGTGATATTTTATTTGTGCTCTAATGTATAAAGCTTGCCCAGGGATCAGAGGACAAAGCCAGCCACTATATTAAACATAGAGGTCAGGCAGTGGTAGCACACACCTTTAATCCTAGCATTCGGGAGGCAGAGATTCATCCAGATCTCTGTGAGTTCAAGGCCACACTGGGACTCAATCTCAGAAAATAAATGAGAAAAAAATATGGACTTCTTCCTGAGTCCTATTTACTGCATTTAACATGATGATAGTTCAAGTTTGGTAGGTTATATGTATCTAGAATATTATTCATTTTTTTCTAGGTTTGCCAAATCACTGCAGTATATCTTTTTTCAAAATATTCTTAGTGATCCTCTGTACATCGTGATATTTTGTAGTAACATAACCTTTCATCTTTTAATTATTAATGTGCTGCTTATGTCACACAGTGATGGGTTTCAAAAGACATTTTCATTCTAGTTCATCATGTACTTTAACCATCTGCACACACACCTTATGTTCTTCCCAGCGTTAGACACAGACACATGGCACTACTGGGTTTCTGTGAACTCTTTTTCATATTACCTCTTCTGCAATTGACTTTTGTTTTCACTTTCTTCCAGAACGTGAAGTCCTCTGCCCACTTAAATCCCACACATCCTTCAAGATGGTGAGATATTAAGCTCTGAGCATAGTGATAAATAAAGGAATCCTGTGTATCCAGTATGCTCTTGCTTGCTTCTGCGCTGCTGATGGAGCAGAAAATCCTACAGGATTTGTGGTTGTCTTTATTTTCATTAAACAGCCACAACAACAACACTGTATCATTATTTTAAGCCCAAGTGATTGTAGACTGTCAGTCTGCCAAGGAAACTGCTGTTGCAAATGATTGACGCCCTTTGTGGAGTCCACATCTTCTTTAGCTTTAGGAGCTAGGCAGTGAGCAGATAATAGACTCACTGGTAATAATTACAGCCCCTGTGTTTTGAGTACTGGATACACTGTTCTAAGGCTCATAAGCAGCCCAGACATTTCTGACCTTATTATTTTGTGATGACCAAAGAATGACTGTCTTATTCTTCTATACTGGTTCCATGCATTCATTCTTGTGCTTATAAAATCCAAGCAGTGAAATTTTTTTAAAAAAAATTTCTCTTTGCTTTGTGTTGTGCTATATAGCTATTATTGTTCTAGAACTCACTATATATAACACTGGTCTCTCAAACTTGTGACAGTCTTCCCGCCTCTGCCTCCCAGGTACTGAGATAATAAGTCTGTGACATCTCATCCAGCTAGTTGGTGAAATCCTTGCATGATTTCCCAGGAATAGCACACAAGTAAAGGGAGTCTCCTACCCAATGCCTTCCAACACCTTGTCATCTTGGATGTTGAAACATATTAGCTTGGCTAAAGGTTCCCCTGGGGGATGACGATGATAGTGATGATGATGCTCCTGTTAATATTTATTAGTGATTCTTCATTTGAATTTGAATACACTCTATGAGCCAGTGTTATCAGTATCACTTTACAGATAGGAAGACAGAACAATTTAGCTGCTTAAGATTAAACAAGATTCCAAGAAAATTATGTCCATTTTTGTGTGCCATTCTTCTAATCATAAGAGCACAGATAATGTTTCTGGACTTGATGGGGATCATGTCTCCCTCCATTGACTTTCTCAGGGCTGATGACCCCCAGGCATATTCAACTTATTCTCAGTTACGAAACCAAAGCCATCTTTCCTTATAAATTACAAAAACAAAACAAAACAGGTATGGGGGTATCTAACCCTCTCAGCTTCAAAGAACTCTTCAGATCTGTATTTCCTATTTATCCTAAACAAGCAAATGAAATATCAGCAAGAGCATTTTTGTTATTATTCTTGTTTTGCAACTAAAGAAACTAATACTCAGAAGCTTCAGTAAATGGCTCAAGTTCGCAAAGGGAACAGCTAACCATTAGCACAGTGGTTTGGAATGCAGAGCGAATTGATGACCATTCTGTTATATCTCTCGGAGAAGGACTCACAGAAGGAAAGCCATGTGTATCGAGTTTACATTAACTGGGAATGTGCAGTATTTATTTAGGGGGGGGGGCTTTAAATTTTATGTTACCAATTGAAGCAGAGGGACTTCCGGTGTCTTGAGATGTACATTGAGGCTTTTAGTGTACTGAGTGAAACACATAGAAATGAACAAATAACTATTTAAATCAACCAGCCGAAATATATCCATAAAAAAGTAATTTCACATTTATGTTTGAACATTGATTTTATAACTCCAAGCTCCTAGCAGGAAATGAGAAGACTGTCCTCTTTTATTTTTCCCCTGTGACTTACAAGTCCAAGCCCATCAATAAACCCTGTTCTCAACTTCTTCAGTCACTGTCACCCCAGCTGTAACTTACTTTTCCTATTGAAATACTTCCAGTTAAGGCCAGAGTTGTGCTCTCTGTATGGAGAACTGGCCTAATGATTTAACCATACATATGTTAAAAAGGCCTAACATATTTGCAGAAAAAGAGCTTACAGTTCATAGCATGATTATAAAATTTATTTTATAATCTTATTTTAATTGGCAAATGTGGTAATGAATTTTGAATGAAATTGAATCCTATGGTGCTTAGTCCAGAATGTTAGAGAGTCCTTTCTCTTTTACCTCACAAAGTGTGTTAGTGAAGAGAATAACATGCCTACAGTTTATGTGATGCCAGATGCACATTCAGTATCATCAGCTAAGCATTCTTTTCAAGCCCCATGTTTAGTACAATTATTCCTTTTAATTTTTATACATCTTTAATATACTACAACTAAAGTGTGACTTTGTTCTTCTATTTCAAGCATAGGTGAAACATGCAAATTTGGAGACAAAATATATTATTAATTTCTTCTCTTTGTCAAGGGAAGTATATTCTACAATAATTGACAAGAACAAGCTATTCATATCACATCTGTGCTGTGGAACAATCTTTTTGCACACTGTGAATAATTGTTGTTCTCATTGGTTTAACAAAGGGCTAAGTGGTCAATAGCTGGGCAGGTAGAGGTTAGGCAGGACTTGCAGACAAAAAGAGAGCACAAATGATGATTCTATAAGCTGGATGTTGTGAACTGTTCTGAAGAAAGTGTTAAGTCTTCATCTACTCTATAGTATGTTGATGTGGTTATATATTTGTAATCTAAGAAATAAAGCTTGCCTGAAGATCAGAGGACAGAACCAGCCACAGAAGTCAGGCAGTGGTAGCACATTCCTTTAATCCTAGCATTCGGGAGACAGAGGCAGATATCCGTCTGGATTTTTGTGAATTCAGGGCCACACTGGGCTACATGAGATTAATCCAGTCTAAAAGAGAAATAGCCAGGCAGTGGTGGCACACACCTTTAATTCTGGCACTTGGGATCACACACCTTTAATCCCAGCACTAGGAAGGTTGAGAAAAGAAATGATATGGCCGGGCAGAGAAAGGAATATAAGGCAGGAGAAGACAGAAATTCGCTCTCTTGAGGAGGCTCTGTCAGGCTGAGTAGTTGGTAAGGTAGGAAGGTAGTAGCTGTGGTTTGCTCTACTTCTCTGATCTTTCAGGTTTCACCCTAATATCTGCCTCTGGGATTTTTATTACAAGACCATTTAGAATTCGTGCAACATGTTGGTTTTCATTCCTTCAGATATTAACCTAGAGGTGGTATAGCTATGATGGATGTTAGATGGATATCTGTCTATCTATCTATCTATCTATCTATCTATCTATCTATCTATCTATCTATCACAAGCATTACTAATATATGTGTGTCAGTCTTTAATATATATTATATACTATTTAGTATATAATATATTAATTTATTAAATTTATATTAATATGTATTACATATTAAATATATAAACTTGTATTAATATATTACACATTATATTCTTTAATTTATATTAATATATAATAAATATATATTGCATTCTTTAATATGTATATTAAAGAGCCTCCATAAAGGTTCTCATAGAAGATGGACTGACATTTTCTCACACATAGTGTACAAGGCTTTGTTTTGTCTGGTAACCTCTCCAGCATTTGTTGCCTGGGATGTGACACAATATGTAGCTTTGATTTGCCTTTCCTTGATTATGGATAAATACATCTATCTAAATACATGTACCTAGTTGTCCTAACAAAGCTCATTTTCCTTTGTGTATGTTTTTTCTTTACTCTGCTTATTTTTTCCCCATGCTTGGCAGAGCCTTTCAACTTTATACGATTTAACTTATTAATTACTGGTAATTTTTTATGAGCCTTTTGAATTTCATTCAGAAAGTCATGGCCTATGGGAGCTTAAAACACAGCCTATGTTTTTGTAATTTTTATATTGTTTATCTATTCTCTAAGAATTTCATGCAAACTCATAATGTATTCCAATTATTTCTAACCACATTCCCTTACCAAATTATCCAGACCCTGCCATAATTCCCCCATCAACTTTCTATCCTTGTTTTTATCTTTATAATTTACAAAGGTCAGTTAGTGCCTTCTGTGTGCATACACAGGTAGGGCCACCCAATGGAACATAGTTAACCTACCACATTGCCCTGCCCCCCCCCCCCCCAAAAAAAAAAAAACCCAACTGATTCCAATTCCCTTAGCAGCCATCAACTGCTAAGATAGTGTTGGGACCTTGTGACCACCACCCCCATTCTGGAATGTTGAGTGGTTTGGTCATATTCAGGACTTACCTAGGTATCCACAGCTATTGTGAGCTCATGAGTGTGATAGTGTCATCACTCTGTCAAGTCCAGAATAAAGTCTTTTGAAAAAGCCCTCAATCTTCAGCTCTTACAATTTTTCAGCTCCCCATTCAATTATCTTCTTTTGGCTTGGATGGAGTGGGTAACACGGATGTCACGCTTGGGATGAGCACTCCCCAAATCACGTACTTTCTTCACTTTGAATAGCTGTGAGTTGCTATGAAAATCACTGTCTACTGCCATAAGAAACCTCTCTGATGAGAGTTGAGAGCTACACTAATCTGTGGTTATGCAGGTAAATCCATTGTTTTCTGTTTGTGGATGATATACCATTAGACACGAGATTCCTAAAACTCCACCAAAAACATTCTAGAAGTGAGTAATATTTTAATAATGTGCCAGGATACAAAATTGACTTACAAAATTCATTAATTTTTTTAATGTAACGAACAAACATGCTAAGACAGAGTCAGGGAAATAATCCCATTCCTAAGTAGCCTCGGAAACAACAACTTCAACAACAGCCTCAAAATAAACCTCTCCAGGAAGGTGAAAGACTTCTACAATGAAAAATTTAAATTTCTGAAGAAATAAATTAAGGAAAACACTAAGAGCTGAAAACCTTCCATACTCTGTTTGAATTAATATTATGGAAATGGGTATAGAAGTTTTACATGTCAGTCTTATATGGAGACTTTTGATATATTTTGAATTTATTTTATATTTCATTTCCTCTTCTATGTGAGGATTTTTTCCAGGACAATTTATTAAACAAGATTTATTTTTCTCCAATGCACATTTTCAGCATGTGATGAAAAATCAGCTTCCTTTAGATGCCTAGCTTATGTCTGTATTCTGTTGGCTTAAACATCTGCTTCTCTTCTGACTGATTTTTCCACATAGAATAATGTGTGGACACACAGGCCAATAAACTGTCAGAAGAAGGCTGGGCCTGTGTGTGTGGTGACAGGGTGCCTTTGTCACTACGGCTGTGTAATATAATTTGAAGTCAGGCAGTACAATACCACCCTAATTTTCTCATTTTGTTCAGGATTAGCACAGAATATTCATTATATTACCTTAATAATTAAATGATTTATACAACATATTTGATGAAAATACCTCCTTATAAGGTGTTTTTTTTATATAATTTAGTTAGCATATAAGTTGTTAGTGTTTGATGTATAGAAAGACAACCATAGAGTTGAGAGAAGTCATGTGATCATTCTGTCAATTGCTGTTGAACTGCAATCCCTGTTTTCATTTACTCCCCAGTACTGTCTGTTTTTTTTCCTTTTTAGTTTTTATTTATCATTTCTTTTTTATAATTCTCTCTCACAATGTACATAGAATTTTCTGTAGCACAGTTAAAATATGAATAGCTGTTCTAAATTTAATAAAATCCTCCATTATAGAGAGAGCATGAAAACAGAAATGACCTGAGGTGTCAAAGAGTTTTATATTTTTACCATCACTTGTCTTCTTTAAGGACTGAAGAAGATGCTTGAGTGAATACAGTTGAACCCAGACATCAGAAGAACCCCATAGCTAGCTACAATAAAACTTCTAATCCTAAGAAAGTGTGAATTTAACAAAAATCTGTTATTGAAAGAACTAAATTTGAGAACGTTTTACATGAAAATCAAAGTAATTACTGTAATATGTTTCATAATAATTCATTCTAATGAAGAAAGTAAGTTCAAATCCTATCATCTTTGAAGTGCTTTGATTTTGAAGAGAGAGAGAGAAAGAGGAGAAAGAGAGAGACAGACAGACAGGGAGAGACATATATATATATATATATATATATATATATATATATATATATATATATATATATAGAGAGAGAGAGAGAGAGAGAGAGAGAGAGAGAGAACTTGTGTGTTCTAGCAAATTATAGGCATCATCTTGCCAATAGAGATTATTTCAAGTGTGGCAAAGTAAATCAAAGTTTGAATAAAATCTGGCCTTGATCCCATTTGACCTCAGAACACACATTAATAACTATGGCACCAGTTCAATTATCTAATAAGGACCTTGATAAAATGTTAAGCTCAGATGCTAATTGCCATCTATTAAAGATTAGATCTTCAATGTCCAAAGCTTTCTAAGTATATGTTCTAGTCAGTGTAAAAAACTAACTGTATTAAATTAACAGAAAACTTGGTTTTTTACACATTTTGTAGAAATTTTGTAGAAATCTTAAAAGTAAAATTATTATAAAACTAGGCTGGGGAGTTTTGAAGGTGGTCAATTCAAAATAGCATGCTTACTATTTGATCTAATGCTTATTGAATTTTAGATTTAGAACTTTGTATAAAATGCTGCAATTGTAATCCAAATATATTTGTAGACATTCTTAAGAAAGAAAATATCAGTACAATTCTTTTGTTCTAATATAGATTACTTAGGTGAAGTACAAGTTTAAGAAAGTATTCAAATGTCTCAATTTTTAGTGTTTTTCATTTTAACTCAAATGTCTCCCTGCAAGAACATTTTATTCTTCCACACTGTCATTATCACAAACACACCTTAAGTAATGCACTCTTGCTGATTGATGTTTTGAAAATCAGGAAGAAAGTAAAATGTCAAAGGGCAGTAATTGAAAGCAGAAAATTAAATGTTTAATGACCCTCGAACTATACAGAATGATTTGAACAAAACATGACAAATGACCAATGTTTGAAATAGAATGACCCACTTGCCACAAAACTTGTTATTTTCAACATAGCATACAATAGAGGAAGGAATCATACCTAAAGGCGGAGCTTTGTGGTTGGTTTTCTAACATATAGTGGTCACCATCTCATTTTTTATTTGACGGTATGTCATAGTTGGAACTGTGCCAAATGCTAACATTGAAATAAATAAAGTAATTTATTTGGTCATTGATTTCATAAAGATTAGACTTAAAGTAGAAATATCAATAAAAAGACCCGAATGTCAAATGAAGTATTGAAACATGATATTGATATTTGAACATATATATGAATGCCATATTCTGTCAAGTGAAAAAGATTAAGGTATACATCAAATTCATAGTACACCTATACAAATAAAGATGGACATGCAACTACGTAATCACGAAGGTTTGTTTATTTTTTTTTTGGAGACAAACTGGACTTGAAATCACTATGTAGCTGAAGATGAGCTGCTGTGACCTTGCAGCATTCTGTGTTTACATAGTACACACCACCACACCTGTCCTAAGGTTTCCAATGTCCTAACATGCCAATATCACATCAAGATGTGAAGTCTTGTCAGTTTTATAATTAGATATTAAGGGAAAACAATGAGAGAGAGAGAGAGAGAGAGAGAGAGAGAGAGAGAGAGAGAGAGAGAGAGAGAGAGAGAGAAACAGAGACACCCTATTGATATCAGGAAAGCATGAGAGTTAAGTCACAAATATCCACTGATGCAAATAAGTTGAGTGGGACACCAGGGAAGTGTCTCCCTTTGAATCACCCTCCTTGAACTGTGAACTATTAGGTTACAGAACCTCTTGATGGATCACTCCTGGAAATTAGGCCACATCCCACTGTAGCTTTCTCCAGAGAGTTGATAAGGAACACACACTGTGACCTTGCAGCTCTTTCAGAGTTCATTCTCTTTCACGCTTCCAGCTTCAGCTCCCTGCTACTCATCCAAGATGGACCTGAGTTATATAGCCTGTCCTTATTAGTACCTTCCTGGATCCCAGCACATAAGCTAAGTCCCTTGGTGAGGAACTTTTCCTGAGTCCTCTGGAAATTTGTGTGAGTAAGAAACTTCCCTTTGTTCTTTGGAGCTGAAGGGATCTGAAGGATGCCCCTCTTCATGAGCATGACATGAGTAGCAGCTTTCTGTCCTAATGAAACACTTCTTCAGACCTGAAGTCTTTCTCACTTCTGGAGCACTTCTAGGGATGAGATGCTGTAACTCTCCCAGTTACTCATTAAAGAGTGATTTGTCTTTCTATGAACCGGCATATCTTCATATTTACAACAGGTATTTCAAACATAATCCCACTGTGTGAATATACAGACCAATACAAATACATTGTCAATAGAAAGTTACATTTTATTTTTAAATTCCTATATGTACATGTAATTTTAAAAAAGATTGGATTAACGAGAAATTATGGCAGATGTTTTAAGATAGCTAGTTCTATCTAACAAAATTTTATCTATGGTAAGTAGTTATTTGGATGCCAGACTAGAAACAAAGGCTTTCTTTTTTAGCTTAATGAGTGACAAACCTCTAAGTAATTTAAGAATGGCTTTTTGTTAGACTATTCTATTTTACTGTGGTGCATATGATTTTTCTGTATGTCAATTTAATATAATTTCCTATCTGGTCCTACTATTCATCAATGAATGGATAGTCTTTATAAAAGAGAATTCAAATTAATGTATTTAGTTATATTAAATGATGATTAAATTGCTATTTGTAATGTATCCAAGGGGAATATGGTATTTCAACTTAAAAAGTAATCTTGAAGCCTAACCAATCTACATTAATACTTTTGAACATTTGAGTAGAATCAAGCATTGAGTGAAATACTAACACAACACAATCAATTAATGCTGCAATGGCCTCTATTTACCACACTACATCTGTACTATGCTCTTAGAGAGTTTAACAAATAAATCATTAAAAACTAATAACATTTAAATGAGTTAGCCAGGGTTCGCATATTAACTGCCCACTACTTAAAAGTCACTCCAGTAGTTTTTTTTACACAGCAAGTGCAATGTAATGCAAAATATATTCTAAGTGTTTGTGGTTTTCTTGTATGTTAAAGGCAAGCAGTTGCTTTAGGCTTCAATTCTTCTTATTTAAAAATAATAAGAGCATTTTGTCAAAGACCATCTTGGGTATGGGCCATGATACCACACTGGCTTTAATTTTGCACTATCTTTCCTACCAGAATATAATGTCCTTGAAGGGTTTCTGTTTTGCATAGCATTGTGTCTTAGATCCTTCACTTATGGGCATCACTCTACTTTTCATTTCCTAGTAAGAAAATGATAACTTCAAGTCACCTAAACACTCAAAAAAGACAATCAAATCAAGGAGAACCTGCCTTTACAGCAGCTTTTCAAGGCAGATTATAACTCAACAGCTTATTTTACATCCTATATCATAATCTGTTTCTTCAATGCATATCAGTTAGAGAAGAACCATTCAATTTACTATCATTCAGAGGGTCATTACTTAAAAACTTCTCAGAGATGCCCGACTGAGTTTCTTCAAATAGACTATCTTGGTTATATCTATGTTTTTTATATAATAGACTATTTTAACAGGGCAGGTAAAGAGAGATCAGAATCTAATCACATTTATCACCTTGATTTAATCAAAAGATACCATTTTGTTATATTGTCTTAAGGTTTTCCCTTTAAGATGGATGAATTAAATGTTGTATAAAACAATCAAGTTGAAAGGAGAAAGTAGAACACACATTTGCACATGAAACAAGCAAATAAAATGATGTGTTTAATTTTTTCACCGTCTGCTTATTTATTGGACTTTATACAAGTGACTGTTAAAAGCCTCATGCACAATGCAAGTTAACAATCCATAGTATTTATAAACGAAGATTTTACAGGAGCTGAAATAGTTGGCACCAACTGTTAATGGTATGCTAATTGAGAACATTGGCAATATAAAATCCCACATGTGTTCAGCAGATTTTAAACATGGCATTGTTCCTGGCTAGTGTGAGCTGGGAAGCCCTCTTAAAGGGGTAGGTATGGATTTTTGTTTTTTGTTTTTGTTTGTTTTGAGACAAGGTTTCTCTGTGTAGCTTTGCACCTTTCCTGGAACTCACACTGTAGGCCAGGCTAGCCTCGAACTCACAGAGATCCACCTGCCTCTGCCTCCCAAGTGCTGGGATTAAAGGTGTGCACCACCACTGCCTGGGCTCCTAAAGATCACAGCAGTTGGTCACGTGGTTTGTGTTGAAATGTGAAGGAGAGTTAAGGTGTGAGCAGGTAAGCACATAGGGGCACGAACAATCTGAATGCCACTCCAGCCTCACCCTTCCACTAAGCTTTCTGTTTCCACAGCTAACTGGATTAATCACATAGATTTCAGATCTCCTAGCTTCCATTTTTAGTTGTAGCAGCATGGTCTCCAGGGTCTCCTCTTCCCTCAGTCTGTGCTTCCTTAGTTTATATGATCAGGTCTTGTATATTCACCATTTCAGTAATTCTGTTTTGAAATCTCGTGTAGCATCTGGCATTTTTGAGTTGTGGTAAATTCCTTGGAATACAATTCATGTTTCCAACTTTGAGTATGACCATCCCTTTGGTTTTGCTTGGATAATGACATAGATGAATGATGGAGATAAATTATACGTACATTGTCTTAAATCCTTAAATGCATATTAATTAAAACTTCTGTTTTCACAGATTTCACCTGCCTATCATTTTAACCTGCAATAACCAAGCAGCCTGAAGACACCACTGAGTTTAGATGGAATAACTGCTAACATCCCATCTAAAGCTGTGTTATCCTTGCTGTCTGTGGCAACTGAATGATAATTTTTTTAAAAGATAAATAGTAATAGTCAAGGGCCTGTGGTAGTGACACTTCAGTAATCATGTGGAAGACTTATAAGAAAGCAAAACTTCAAGTAAACAGGCAGCTGGCCACCAAAACGAGTTTTATACTGTTTAATACAGATAACTTCAGATGCCTTAAAATGTCAAGGGTTGAAGTCATTACACATAGCCATCATCTGTGACAATTCAGCCAGCATTTAAAACTCATTTCTGAGATAGCTTCTCCCAAATTGAAGCCTGAGGGCATGTGGAATCTTAAATCTATCTTTTCGTAAATAGTCTTAGCAAAGCTGACCACCATGCTCCTCAGATCCTGGGAGGCACAGTACACTCTAAAGTTTCCATTACCACTTTTACTGAATTTTGTGCTACCAGTTTTCATTTGCCTACTGGATGCAAGTCTCTCTTCCTTTGAAATCGCTGCAACTTTGAAAAAAAATAGCACTTGCAGAAGCATTCCCTAGTACAAATGCCAGAGAAGCAAGCAGAAGAAGTCAAATGTTTTAACTTTTTAAAAAACTGTGAGTGTGAAAGTTATTACTTGTGCTAACATTGACAATGGACACAGAAGTTGTAAACTAGGATGGGTGAAGGAGTTTCAACATATTGTAGATGAAGAAAAAAAAGTTAAATTATTTTCATTTTTAAAATTAAAGTATGTGTAACATATAAGGTATACCCAAGGAAGATATATGCAAGCTACTGGATCCTGTCCTTCATATTTTTTTAAATATGGAAGTGACATAATATTTTTATCAGCTTAATATAGTGTTGGCTTTTATCTGCTAGTAAACTGGATATGGACAAAATTTAAAAGTAAAGATACATTTAAATATTGTTGACACTTCATTATGTGAATGTGGTGGTGGAATCCATTAGCAGACCAATGCTAACACAGAGAACAGTTAGTGAATCTTGGTTAAAGGCTACTTGTGACACAAAGACAGGTATTACATACACTTGTTGTAGCATTGCTTTTTACTCTTTTTTGAGGGGCCACCCAGCTCCCAAATAAATAACACACGGAGGCTTATTATTACTTATGAATGCTTGGCCTTAGCTTGACTTAGTTTCTAGCCAGCTTTCCTTAACTTAAATTATCCTGTCTGTCTTTTGCCTCTGGGCTTTTCCCATTCTCTTGCTTCTATAAATCTTATTCTTACTCTGTGGCTTGCTGGTTGTGTAGCTGGGCAGCTGCCCCTAGAATCCTCCTCCTTCTCTGGCTACAAGATCTTTTCACTCATCCATCTCTTTTTTTTTCTCCCCAGATTTCTCCCTCTATATATTCTCTCTGTCTGCCAGCCTCACCTATCCTGTCTCCTGTCTTGCTATTGGCCAGTTCTTTATTAGACCATCAGATGTTTTACACAGGCACAGTAACACAGCTTCACAGAGCTAAACAAATGCAACATATACAAAAGTAATACACCTCAAAATAATGTTCTTCTATATACTCTACCTCATATGTCAAAATTACTGGCAGGAAATAAGATAGGTGGACATGATGAGTGCATTATTTAAGCTTTTGGTGTGGAAATATCATAGTTAATCTCATTAATTTGTACTACTAACATGAACTAACAATAATAATAATAGTAAAAGATTGTGTTTAAAGGTATTCCAAACCGTCAGAAATGTGTGTGTGTGTGTGTGTGTGTGTGTGTGTGTGTGTGTGTGTGTGTGTAGACAGAGGGGAGGAGAGAGAAATCTCATTGGAGTAAGTTTAAAACTTCATATACTTAGTTCTCACTGGTGTTTGCTTGTCTTAGTTTTTGATAATAAGCCAGGAATTTGGACAGCAGCCAACATGCTGGAAGACCCCTGGGGCTTGCATCCATATTATAGTGCTCTAGAGAAAAGAAGATGGGATCCAGAAGCACCACAGGCCAGAATTTCAAGCCAGGATTACAGGGGTGGGGTGAGGGTGGTAAACACTACTAAAAATAGCATACCAGTTTTTGCATTGATTTTTTTTTTCAAGTTTTTTGGTAAATGAGAACTTTAAGAAGGCAAACAGAAAATGACAAAAAAAATCTTTTGCTGAAGTGCTGTAGTGTCATGGGGCAAAAGGGTAATCAGAGTTGAAGACTCATCAAGGAGAATATTGAAGTTCTTAGCACAGTCTCAGCCATGAGCTGCATAGGGTAAGCTGCTTTTTAACTTTGCCTGTAGAAGAAAATAGTGAGTCTTAGAAGGAAAACAGTGTTCCCCCCAAAACTGTGCATTTTCCAATACACTGGACAATATTGTATAAAATGTTACAGTAATACAAAGTACCAGGAAAAGAAAACATAAATAAAATAGACAAAGAAGAGGCCTAGTCACTGGAATGATGTAATCATGGTATCATAATTGAAAGTAACTCTTTTAATTAAACATTCAAGAAACTGGGATTAAAACAAATGAATTATGCAGAAATTCTAGAATTTAAGACCTGGAGCAGAGTGGAGCTCTCATGAATGATATTAGTACCATACATGGAGAGTCCTGGTTAGTAGTTCTCTCTCCCTTTCTTTGTGAGAGAGGACAAAATCATCGCAGAAACAAGACTGAAAAACTATGGTAAATTTTAAACTAGTTTAAAGATATGAAGGCAAATTACTTGTAAAAGATAGCCAGAAAGGTTTATGTTGACCTACAACACAATAAAAGGAATCAAAAGAGTAGGTTCTTTAATATACAGAAAGAACATACTCACCAACCAAGAACTCAATAGAAAGGGAGAGGATTCTACAATGATGAAAGTGAATGAAACATATCGCTCCAATTCTCCTCCAGATCCTCTGTGTTTGTAAGTAAGTTGACATCAAAGCAGAGAAATAAATGCTGCCAGAGACAGGGGACTCATGAATGTAGAAATGCAAAATGATAATTGTTTTGTGAAAACAATAATATGTTGAGTATTTTATCCATATAGTGGCTGGAGGAATATATTCATACTAAAATATGATGTTCTTGAAGTCCTTAAAATTTACCAAAATTTTATGGTAGAATCCATTTACCTTTGATAATAAGTTTAAAATAAAAAGCACTATTGTATAACTTAAGAATTCAATATCCATACATTACAAGAATTTTAACAAGTAAAACTCAGTGGAAAACAAATATCGGTTTAAAACAAAGTGCGTTAAAAATATCTACAGCAGACATCATAGTTAATGGTAAAATTGTGAAATCATTTTCACAAACTAGAAATGAGCTAAGGATGTGTTTATCAGTACATGTGTGATCTATTCTGCTGTTGATTCTAGGCGTCACACTAAGGTTGGAAAACATGGATGAATACCGAAAATAAAGTGAATAAGTTTTTCATAATATCAAATTGTACTTTAAAAATGTAAAATAAATATGAATGAAGGTTTAGAAAGTATCATTTTCTTGATACATAAAACACACATGTCAATATGCTATGTAATCATAAAAGTTCAACATTAGAAGATGAAATTTATATATTTAATACCTGCAAAAGTGCTACTGATGTAAAAGTTGCTTAATAAAAACAGTTGTTGCTAAATTATATTTTCTTTTTAAAAATAACAGTTTTTTAATATTTACCATTATTTTCCATATGGCCTCATAATTTAAGTTGCATTTGTGCCATGAAAAAATAAAAGCACCAGTAAGTAGATGGAGTTTTGTCTGTAAAGAGAGATTTCAAAAATATTTTGTACTTATAACTATAAGGAATCAATTTAATTTTTAGAACTAACATTTAATCATCACCATATCACTGCAAAGTTTGTAATTTATGAAAGATAATTTAATGGCTTACTGACTTTAACAATTAAAGTCATTATATTGTATTGGGACTGTATGCCATCTTTTTGTGACATATTGTAGGAAATGGTTTTGTTTAATTACCTAGGATTAGAAAAGTAAGGCTAAATTTAAAATCTATTAAATTAAAAAAAACAACACAAAACAAAAAACAAACAACTAACCAACCAACCAACCAACCAAACAAACAAACAAAAACCAAAAAGCCAAACCCAACTGCTATCGTGATGTATTTCGAACTTTTATTTATGGTCCCTGCCCTGTTGTGCTCTGAGGTACTGACACTATTCAGAATAGTTCAGAACCCTTTTGTCACATCTTGATAAGCACTTGACTATGGTAAATAACACATGCAGTAAAAGAGTGATGCATTCGGTGATGGCTCTGGCTAGCATTTTATGCTAATGTTAGTGTCGGGCAGTAACAGCTCATTCGTTAAAATAGAATAGTTAGAAAATGTGTAGACTTTTAATCTTCTATATTTATGAGTAATTTTATTGTCCCTCATAACCATATATAAAATTTTTATTTAGATAATAATGTACTTATACTTTCATTGATAAGCAATTTGCAACATTTCAGAGTTCAGCATACCTGTACATTTGTTCACATTGTTTATTCTTTACATTTAGAATTTTAAAGTTTTTTTCCCATAATGGCCTTATTTCATATAATCTCAACACAACTAGTCACTGAATAATTGATGGATTTATTTTTATAGTGTGAATATTTATATTTATGTGTGTTCACATTATTTATTGCTGATGTAGGGAAATATTACTGGTTCTTGTAGATTGATTATAGTTAGGAACTTGGTTGAACTAATTAGTGGTTTTAATTAACCTGTTGACTAAAACCTGGTGATATTTGGGGGAAGATAAATGTGTCATGTTAAGAAATAATGCATTTTCTATTTCTTTTTTAATTCTTACATTTTTTCAGTTATGTTTTATTCTAAAGAAACATTTATTCATGCTTTGCTACTACATTAGATGGCATGTGAGACAATGGTTTCTTCATTTTGCTCACAAACCTAATTATTTATTTACATAATCAGGATTCCCTAATGCTGTGTTCATAGATTCTATGTCTTTTAGTGTGTATGCTCATAGCAATGCCTAGCAGAGTGTAGGGTATATGATAAACACTATTAAATGGATGAAGAAGCAGCTCAATAAGTAAGTACATAAGTAGAAAATTACAGGACTTCATGAACAAGGAAAGTCAAGTCATTGGGAGAAGCCTATTTCCCCCTAAATATCTAAAAGCAACATTGTATCTTTTCAAAATTAAATTAACTACTAATGAGAAATGTGTACTTAGGGCTGGAGAGGTAGGCTAGTGTTTAAGGGCACTTGATGCTCTTGCAGAGGACCCTGTTTGGTTCCCCAGCACCTGTATGACAACCCACAAATATGTATAACTCCAGTTCCAGGGCATTGGATATGCCCTCTCTGACCCGTGCAGGATCTTGTATTCAAGGGGAGCATGTTTGTTCACACATTGTTTATACATTTGCTCACATGTATGCTTAAATTATAAATAATCTAAAAAATTGTCTTTGATGCACAGAGTTTCTCTAGTTTTGGCAGCTTTACACTTGTGTATGTCTTCTAAATTAAATTTTTGTCATGATCAATCAAATATTACATCAAGTAGTTTTTGGAAAAGTATTACAGAAAACTGGTAGAAAGAACTAATATTTTTTATGTAGAAAGCAAATTTTGTTAGGAAAACAATTTTGTTTTAAATTAATTTATTGTCTAGTTACAAACTTGATTTTCAGATCTGTAGGGTCCATATACTTTAGTTTTAGCAGTTTGTCTAGAATTTGTGAAATGGTCCCACATTAGTTTTATGTCTAGTTATAACTGAATATGCAATTCTTAAATTTTCATTATTGCTTTAATCTCGGGGATTTCTCAAGCAGAGTAGTGAAGGTTAATACAGTAAGATTAATGAGGATGGTACCACTAACAATGACCTAAAAATCACCAAGAAAATATTAATATCTCTTCTTAATATCAGAACAAATATGAAGCCTTTATATTTTAAATGATAATAAACAGTATTTACTATTCTAAACCTACTGTTTATGTAATGGAAAATACAGAAAAGCAATAAGGGATTTTTTTGACTAATTATTATGTTCTGATTCAAGAATGGAAAAAAATCCCCAAACTTAATTCTCTCTGAACATATCTTCAGAGCAAAAAGCTCAATACTCCTATGTAGGGTAATGTTCGCATCAATAAATTATAAAATAATTAATATTTACTAAGTAATTATAATCCTTTTAGGTATTGAAGGGATCAAAAAAGAAATAAAGAATCCATGGGAAAGTATTTAGGTAAAGTGTCATGTGTTTAGTGCTTGTCAACTTCACAGAAACTGGAATCATCTGGGAAGAGAGAACCTCAACTGAGAAATTGCCTCCATCCGATTGGCTTGTGGACACATCTGCAGGGGCATTTTCTTAATCGCTAACGTGGGAGCACCCAGTCCACTATAGGCAGAACTATCCCTACGCAAGTGGACCTGGGCTGTATAAGAAAAATGATGAGTAAGTCAGAGGAAGCAACATTTAAGGAGCTGCCCTCCACAATCTGTGCTTCAGTTCCTTGTACCAGGTTTCTGCTTGAATTCTTGTCTTGGCTTTTCCTAATGGTAGACTGTAAGTTGTAAGCTGAAATAAATCCTTTCTTTCCATTTTTTTTTTTGGACCAGTGTTTATCACAGCAACAGAGAAGCAACCTGGGACAAAAGTCAGAAGGAAGGAGATCCAGCTTCGTGGACCACATTACCCAGATGGATTCAAGAGTCATATTCTGAAGACCATCACAAGAAATGATTGCTTCTCATGAACAATTAGTACAATTGCATTTTAAAATAAAACTTTATTGAGAAAATTAGAGTGTAGGAATTTGTAATAAATACTATTTGTTTGAGCAGAGAAGGTTGTTACCACAATTTAATCTATCACATGTGGATGAAACAATTAAGAAACAAGATAGGAATCCATCTGGAACACAGAAAAATTCCCTTATTAAGATATTTAGAAGGATGTTTAAAGTAAATCCTGAACTGAGTTAAAAACTTGGATCATCTACTGTTAAGATAGTGGAGAAGTAGTTTTTTCAACAGACTGATTCTTGTATTTATGAAACTATAATAAAACATTCTTCCATGTATAATATGTTTTATATTTCATAAAGCATATACATATACCTACTCAAGTTCATCTTAAATGTTTAAATAATGATCTGAAGGCTTCTGTTCAATTATTATTTGAAAATTCAAATACTATGTAAGCATATTACTTTGTATTATATAAGTAACTACAAAATTCATTTGTGAACTCTGGTCCAAAAAATGCAAATAGTTGGGATAAATTTTTTTCATTCCAGGTTTCTCTTTACACTTTTAGTTTTGCCTTCACAAAAACTTCATGGAGCTCTTTGGATGGGATGAATGCTCTAATTTAGATGGGAAGAAGCTGATCAGTGCACAGTTTTTGATTATGGTCTTGATTATGACTGAAAGAAAGATGGAAAATAACATTCATTTCCTTAAAGATAATATTACATTTGTGAGCCATAAAACAAATTTATGGAGAGCTAGAAAACAAAAACATAAGCTTTTAAAGCATCCTCTTACTTCAAATGAAGCACTTGGGTGGGAGTACAAATTACTGCTGTAAATGTATCTACATTTTAATGCATTCATAAAAGTGATGTTTTTCAAATGTGGAAAGTAATAACTTTAGGAATTCATAGCCTTGGGTATGCATAACTCATTTCATGATATTTTTTTACCAAATGTCTTGTTAATAAAAATGCAAGTATATGGAATTCTTCTTAAAATTAATATTGCTTTAATTAGGAAAAAAATTCTGAACACTTAACAGTGAATGCAAACACCACAAAGCCAAGTTAAATTTCTAGACTGAAGGTCATCACCCTACCTAGCCAATTGAGTGCACATGACACTTATTTCATCGCCTTTTTCTTTTCCTATTTCATTTTCTACTTTAATGATTAAAAACTTCCTTACAACCAACCTCTCTGTCCCAGAGATCAGATTTGTAACAAAGAGGTCAGAGTCTGATGTATTTATACTTCTAAGTTCTTTCCCTTTGGGATGACATTATCCAAATTTGTACTCTCTATTGTCATGTTTTTCCTCTGTTGACCTTTTTCATTCATGATATCACCAGGGTCACTTCCATGTAATTAGACTGTACATTTTGTTATTAAAATTCTTTCAATAAGTTGACTCTTAGACATTCTTAATACATTGAATTTAGTTCATACAGAAAGATTTTAAAGTTTTCTGGGTGCTTTATTTTTAACATTATGGCATAATTCTTTCAGTGCTTATCCTAAGTACACCTCCTTTAATCCTCTGGACATGTTTTTATTCATTTAGCAAACACTTATGCAGCATTCATTGTGCCTTTAGAACTATACAGCAAGAACTTGAACTTAAAAAATGAATTAAAAAAAAATCCTGTCCTCCAGATGCTCACAGAAAAGATCAAAGCAAGCAGGCAATTGTGTACATTGTGGTCCTGGGGGATGGATTAAAGTTTTGTGTGTGGTAAGGATACAGGAAAGAGAAAGGGAAGCAGGAAGAGATGGTTTCTCAGTGGAAATAAACACTAAGGTAAATTTTAAATTATTGGTAAATGTCAGAAAATGATGGGAATGGTTCTTCAAATCTCTGCTGGCAAAAAAAAAATGTACTTCTCAGATATTCTTGTATGAGATGTTGACTGACATCCTCAACAGTTGCCCCTGAGGATTTACCTCTGTGCGCACAAGAAGACCACACTTTTCTCAACTTGTCCCAAGCCCCACTTGGATACCTTTGGAATACTTACAATAATTTGTTACTGTAAGATGCAGGACTCTCCTAATTCATATTTTCTTTACACATAGTTGGCCTGCCAGACCCCTGTACAGATGTCCTGATGTCTGTGCATCTTTATTTCAGATCTTTCCTGTCCCCTTTCCTTTTCATAGTTCAAACCTCTTATTATAAAGCAAATGGTGTCTTTTATTTTTTTTTCTTCTTATGTACTTTGAATTATTTCATACATATGTCTCATTCATGACTAGTTTGTTGGCTTTTCTCAGACAACTTGAAGTTGGTATGAGGGACTGGATATTGCTGTGATAGGTCAGACCATGTGTTTGTTTGGAGGAATTTGGACTTCAGTACTTTGGGTTATGAAAGCTGTGGAAAGCTTTAAGCACGGGTTAATGAGTTATGCTACTAGGAGCCTGAAAGACAGGTGTTAAGAGTTATTTGAACTGTCGGAGACTCACTCAAGAGGTTTCAGAGAGGAATTTAGTATGTTGTCTAGAGATCATTCTTGTATATTTGGGTGATGAAAGTAGCTGCCTTTTGCCCTTGTCTGAAGAGTCTGCCTGAGGCTAATGTGAAGAATTTCACATTAATTTCCTTGGCAGAAGAAATCTTAAAATAGACTAGTATAGACTCTGTCATGTGGATATTAGTGGTATCTCTGATGAAGATTTATAATGAAAAGTAGCAAGCTCAGCATGATAAATTACAAAAAGTACATTTTGAGGAGAAAAAGAGCACCAGGAAGTGGAATAGAACTAAGTCCTGTGTTCAAGGAGATAAGTGGATTAAGAAATGGAGCAAAGGGAATGGTGACCGCAGGACAAGATCCCACCCAGGTAAGTTTCCAACTTATGGAAAAAAAAAAAAAAAACAACCACACCTGGTCTATAGAATAAGTTTCAGGTCAGCCAAGCTTAGGCAGTAAAAGACTGAGAGCTGGTGGAGATATAATTTTCCAGCCCCGGTAAGCATTAGAACTTGGCAGCTTTGGCCACATGGTTCTGTCTTCAGAGTTAAGGTTAGAAGACAGTTATGGAATTTGTCTCAGAACCTAAAGAAAGCTGCTGAGGTCAGGCCTGTATCAGGGGTGTCTCTGAATAGAGGTCTAATAGACAGGCCACTCTATGAAGCTGTGAATTTGAACCTGGATTGGCTTGGACAACGGAAGATGTTAGAAATACCAGAGTTGTGGGATACCTGCTGAGGAAAGCTTTTAACAGGGAGTGGAATAAGCCCAAGAGAAGTATGTTGCAGTCAAATCTGAATAGAGGTGGAGATCTGAAGAGTATTTTGACGTCAGATGTGGAGATGCAGAGTTTGAAGTTTGGTGTTTGATTTTGCTTTGTTCCAGTATTTCCTTTGTATGCTCCCTTCCCTTTGTTTTGGAATGCTAATGTATATTCTGTGCCATTATATGATCTACTTTTTTAATTTTGATTTTTACAGGGTGATTACAGTTAAGAGATTGTCATGTGTCTCAGAAGAGACTTTGTACTTTGAAACAAGTTGGGACTGTTATAGACTATGGGGACTTCTGAAGTGGGACTGAATGCATTTTTTGCATTATGATATGGCTATAAGCCTTTGAGGGCCAGGGAGTGGAATGTTATTAGTTGGAAAGAAAATGGCCCCCAAAGGGAGTGGCACTATTAGGAAGTGTGGCCTTGTTGGAGTAGATGTGGTTTTGTTGGAGGAAGTATGTCACTGGGTGGGTGGGGGGGCTTTGAGGTCTTTTCCTCAAGCTTCACTCAGTGTAACAGCCAGTCAACTTCCTGTTGCCTGCAAGATGCAACCCTCTCTACCTGCACACCACCATGTTTCCTGTCATGATGATAATGGACTGAACCTCACTGTAAATGAGTCACCCCAGTTAAGTGTTTTCTTTATCAGAGTTGCTGTGGCCATGGTGTCTTTTCACAGCAATACAAAACCCTAACTAAGACACTGAACTAATACAAATGAAATTGAGAGTGAGACAAGAAATAAAAGTATTTAAGTGTTGGTCGATTTATTGTCTAGCAAGTAAAAAGGATATAAGAAAATTGAATAAGATGCTTACAGATGGACAAGAAAGTAAAATAATTTATAAAAAAGCAACAGGCTATGTTGTGAGAACCATGATTTTCCCATGGGATAGTTTTCACAGCTAATTTGTTTGTTTGTATAATTCCTGTTACGGAAGAATGCATCCTTGGTGTCTTGGAAGATGTTGACTAGGGACAAGATCCTGAACCATCAGAGCTTGCTGAGCGGATTCTTCTCTTTGTAGTTAGAGTTGGAAACTTTGATGTGCTAAAAGATCTGTAGGGACTTTTCACACAAAGGAGCAGGCACAGTTCTCAAAGCTTGTTCCCATCTCCATTTCCATAGACCGAAATAAACTTATCATCCAGTCAAGGATATGACTGAGGGAAGAAATATATTGTATACCCAAGTGATTTGAGTGATTTCATTACTGAAAGGAGAAAATAAAGTAATTCTACAGTTGAACTTTGAAAAGAGGGAAAAATGCATGATTAGCAATTAAGAATTCATTTAGATTAAGGTACTTTTTTTAGGGCTCAGGGTTTTTTTTAATGGTTTCTGGCATAATTTTAGAGACTTAGATAAATGTATTCCTTCCATGGCTCTCGTTGAGTCAGTGTCTCATGCTCTGCATAGTTGAATCTCAGTTTCCCTGCAATATACTAGAGGAATTAATAAACAGCTCAGGGTAGTTGGGTTAGATATGTAATGCTAGACCGAAGACTCCAACAGAGGTTTTTATTCCACAGTAATTTGCACAGAGCACAGGACTCAGGACAGCCATCAGAAGGCCCTCTGGAGATCTGCTAGCACCATCATGGAGTTTAGTGATGACTTTACTCTGAAGGTCAGAATGACTCCTGGAGAGGTGATCACAGAGCTGAGGCGTGACATGGATGGACAACAAACCATCTTTTATCCTTTTTACTTGCTATGACAATAAACCCCCTTTCTCGGCACCTGAAACTAGGTACCACCGGTAGCACTCTTACTGTCCCAGACTGGGATTACT